CTCCCCACAGTAGTAGCCCTTCAATCTCGTAGAGTTAACTGTTCGAACCGATGCCCTGTCTGCTGGAGACATCGAGAAAGTATCGAACATTTATTTTTCAGATGCCCCCTAGCCATCAGATTGTGGTCTATAGTGGGATTGAGCAATTTTATTGAGACCGCCCAGACTGTTAATTTTAGTCTATGGTGGCGACATGTCATGGTCTCTGAGACACCTCCCCATTCCACATTCTCCAATGCGTCTGTTTACTTTGGAGAATCTGGAAGTCTAGAAATGTGGTGACCTTTGAATTTACCCAACCACATATCCATTCCTTAGCCAGACAGTTCTACAACCAGGTCCTCGAATTTTCCAGTCTCCTTCCTCCCCCTCCCCCCCGTAGCTCCAACCTCCCTTCCTTGACTGGCTCTCCTTGGGTCCCTCCACCAGTAGGCTTCTTGAAGATCAACGTCGACGCAGCGGTTAGTGCCTCCGGATGCTCGACTGGGCTTGTTATCCGGGGCTCAGACGGGCTTGTGAGGTTGGCGATCGGATTGCAGCATCAAGGAATAGTCAACCCTTATCTGGCTGAGCTTCTTACTTTCAGGGATGCTATCTCCTTTGTAGCCTCAAGATCCTTATCTCACGTGATAGTTGAAGGCGACTCTGAAGTGGTTGTCAACCAAGTCCGTCAAGGCGTCTTAGAAGACTCGGTTGGTGGTCCGGTGCTCCGAGAGTGTCTCCAGATTCTTAGCTCTTTTTCTGCTTGTATAGAGTTTAGGGCGGTACCTAGATCCGCCAACAGTGCTGCCCATAGAGTGGCGCGTAAAGCACTGCTTTTGTCTCTGGTAGAGCTAGAATCTTTTGATTTCTTGGGGGTAGCTTCAGTAGAGCCTTTTTGGGGTCCTGGGTAGAATTGTAAGCTTAACTATTATTTCTTATTGATATCACTCAGAAATAAAATAAAAAAAACGGAATAGTTTGTCAAATCAATAAAGGAGTTGAATTAAGATACAAAGAAAAGCTATAAGGATTAATGGATGTTTCAATGAGGAATTCTACGTATTAAGGGTTGTTTGGATGGATCAATTAAAAAGTGAGACAATTTGGTCAATTGTCGCATTTTATAAAACGAGTCAGTTCGAATTGTTTGCTCCCACTCCAGATAATTGTAATTGCCTCAAAACAAACCAATTTGAAATTCCTCAGACAAAATTACTTTATCTAAATTTTGTAATCCCAAACGGATCAATTTTGTCTTATTGTCTCAAATGAAACAATCGGGTCAAATTGGTCTGTTAGAATTCCTCATCCAAATGAAAATGTTGCATTTTGAGACAATGGGGTCAAATTCATTCAATGGCAACACAAAATTTGTATGTAGCAATTTGACTCGAGGAATTTCAAATTGACTCGTTTTGAAACAATTATAATTGTCTCGGGTGGATAAAGATAATTTGAATTTAATCATTTTGTAAAATAATATAGTTGATCAAATTATCTTGTTTTCTAATTGATTCATCCAATCGGACCCTAAGATAAATGTTGACCTGTTTTTAAAACTTGTGATCACTTTAGAGGAGCAATATTAGTCTGGTACGATTTCATATTTTTGTTGGCACAATATTGAAAGAAATTTATTTTATAAATGTTATTTTATCAGTATAAAACTATTGAACCATTTCCTCTATCACAAATTTATCTGACCTCCAATACCGCTTAATAATCAACTAGCTTTTTACCCGGCCTGTTGGCCGGAGAGTTTCATTTTATCGTTGACATTAATTCAATTTATCTATATGTTTAAACTATTTTAGACCTTCTAAATTTATTATATTTTGTATTAATAAGTGAGTATGTGGTGTGTCTATATATTGAAAATTCTCAATACTTAGTACATTCACTTATAATGTTTGAATTCTCTAATCATAAACCATGTCACAAAGGTATACCACGTCCCATGTACAATTTTTTCTATCTTATATGAATCCATGTTGTTCAGATGAGGACATCTTAGTTAGAGTTTCTTTGTACATATACTTCATATTGGATAAATTTCTACATCACAATTAAAAGTTGACACTTTGGATGTTCATGAAGTTTACTGTAAGATCTTATTTGTATTTAGTCTCTTATATAATATGTATCAATTGCTAATTTTTTAAATTTAATTTGGACTAACTGAGACTCATTGTCATTGTTTATATATTATTTTAGAATCTCAATCCAAGATACTCACATACGGATTTTGATCTTAATATGGTGCGTTAGTGTATAATTTTACAACTTGTAGAACCTTCATTTTCTAAATTTTATTTATGTTTAGTATTAGTTTAGAAATAAAAATTTCATTAATTATACTAATATATGCATTTTTCTCTATTGCCACATTGATTGTCAATATATAAGCATATATATTAAAAAGAGTTTAATTATTTTTAAGTGTAATTAATACTTGTTTTTACTGGGATTTGTAAAATGTTAAGAAAATAAAGGGAAATATGAACAATTGTAAAAGAAAATAAGGGATGGAAGGACACTTTATAAGTGAGAGAAAAGTTATTCTTACTGATCATCTTCATTTATCTAATGAGGTGATCTATTCTTGCTCCATTGAATTTTTATCAAATTATTTTATTCCGTAAATATATTATTAGTTATGCATGTGTTTTATTGCAAAAAAATGCATGTGTTTGCTAAGAAAGATCATATCTCTTTCGATGATCAACTTCTCTAACCTTGCCTCATTTTCATGTGAATTTTCATGAAGTCTCCTAACGATCTTATGTTAAGATATGTCTATCAAGAGACCCAAATTTAGTATATTATATAACAGAGTAAATACATTTTTATTAATCAAATATTTCAAAAAAAATTCAAAATACAAAGTATTAGCCAAACGTTAACTCCCCGTTAGCATTTTTATAAGTAATGTTGACTCAACAACATAATGATGAGTTGGAAGAGACACGTGACGGTCTATAATCTAATTTAGTATTTTAATTAAAAAAGAGTTACAAAATTATTAATGATAACAAACAAATGGTTAATATTTTGATGTGATACAAAATATTTGGCTAATCACTTATAGTTTGAAAGGTTTGGCTAATAATTTTAAAAAAAACTGAAAGGTTTAGCTATTTAAATGTTATTTACTCAATATGTATCAATTGCTAAGTTGTCTCCTCTCACATTTTGTCACGGCCACTACTGAAGATCTATACCAGATCTGCTATGTCCAATCCTCACATTTGTCCACCAATTCACGGCCCATATAGTAACATCGCCAGTTGAATTTTAAATTGTACTCCTGCACCATTTCTCACAGGCGCCACCAAATTGTGGACATTGTTAGTTTCGTCTACCCGGGTATTTCCACTCTCTATTGCATTTAACACCCGTTATTTGGTTTGCTTTCCTTCACTCAAAATTTCTTCTCCTAACGACAAATCAAAAAGTAATGGCCTAGCACCTACTTAGCATATGGCGTAAACTGAAAATTTACTTAATAAGATTTATTCAAATATTTTTGTTTAAACAATCGCGATACATGTCAGCCTAACATTAGTATACTGTTGCTACACATATATACTACAAAAGGTACAAATGAATTATTAAATAAAAACAAAAGAAAACATTAAATGAAGATAGAGATAGCTACATAAATTGAGCATTAACTTACTTTTGTGTTTGTAAAAAAAGTGTCAACCATGATAATTTGTAAATTCTTCAAGTGCTTATGTGGCAACAAACTATTGTTGAATTGCCATAGATAGATAGATTTTAAACCTTTATTTGATTAATGCATAGGTCAGTGGTTGATGAACACATAATGTTTAACATACACTTTAGCAAAGATTCATCTAACTTTCACATGTATCATTTTTTAACGTATCTCATGTCTCATCTTAAGATATGAAGTCAAGTTTATCAACAATCATACCGAAGTCATTTTAAAAAATTTGATTTATAATCCTTGAAAATTTATTACTCCAAGTCTGAAAATTAAATTTATTAACATATGACGTAAAACTTCAGTAGAGTTGCTCAATTAACACGATCTAGAACAAAAATGCAAAATATTAGTAATTTGAACTTAGGATACATTGTAAATTATTGCACCTATGGTTTATATGTTTTCACTTAATTAGAATGAATAAGGTTTTTGTTTAAGAAATAGATTTTATTGCTTGGTCAAGTTTCTATTCAAACCTTTTTTGTTTTCTCTCTTTAATTTCCATCGTTATTTTGTCGCGATAAATGTTATTATGTATGTGTGTTTGTATAAATTGTTCATCAAAATGTAACATATTTGTAAATTATTGTAAAAGTGAGTTAAAAATTTACTTAGTGAGCTTTAATAAGATATCTTTTTGGTTGAGAAAAAATTTATATGTGTGACTCAAAGACATTAGTATGAATAAGGTTTTTGTTTAAGAAATAGATTTTATTGCTTGGTCAAGTTTCTATTCAAACCTTTTTTGTTTTCTCTCTTTAATTTCCATCGTTATTCTGTCGCGATAAAATGTTATTATGTATGTGTGTTTGTATAAATTGTTCATCAAAATGTAACATATTTGTAAATTATTGTAAAAGTGAGTTAAAAATTTACTTAGTGAGCTTTAATAAGATATTTTTTTGGTTGAGAAAAAAGTTATATGTGTGACTCAAAGACATTAGTCTATTGTTGTGTACATCGATACAATGCAAAAGTAGAAACAAAAACATAAAGGAAGTATTGGAAAAGAAAAATAAATATTAAAAAAGTTAGAGATAACAAAGGTAATATATGTCACTTTTCATACATTATTATTATTGTGTACATTAATATAATACTAAAAAAAGATCAAAGGGATTGAAGAGAGAGATAGCTCCATAAATATATCAATTACTATTTTTTTTTTTGTAAAAATATTGTCCAGCTTGGCAATTTGTGAACTCTCCAAGTGCTTAGGTGACAAACAATTACTTTTGAATTGCCATAATATTATGTATACATAGATGAACTCAACCAAACATTAAATTTAGAAGACTGTTCAGCTTTTTTTACTCTGTTTTTAGTTTTCAATAACAAGATTCTTTCATTTTGTAATCTCTGCAAACTAGCGTTTCCTTCTCATCCTTTTGAGATTAAATTCTTAGAGTAAGACTGAGACGAAATCAGTGATCTTTGAATTTGATCCATTGTGGGAAGTTCTTACTGTTTCTGGTAAGCTAGTCACTTTCAACCGACGAAAAAGAGAGAAGAAATCCAAACCAATTACGATACATGTGTCAAGAGACAATGAAATGTTGGAATATCTTCGGAATCACCTGCTTGGCTCGTCTTTCAGCTCTAGGTCAATCAATTGTCAGTAGTAGCTATCATTAGGAACGCCGGCAATAGGCATATTGGAAACTCAGAAACTCAGCACCCTCAAGACCCAATATGTCCACCCCCCTGAAAAACGCACTTCACAATTCACAATCAATCATGGGAAATATTGTAGGACGCCTCTTTTTCCTTCTTCTTGCGCTGGAATTCCAGCTCCAGGCATTCTTAAGCTCTGACTCTGCCTCCAAAACAGCTAATGGAATCAAGTATCTTCCTGGGTTCGATGGCCCGCTTCCATTTTACTTGGAAACAGGGTGAGAGTTTTATACAAGTAATGATGCAACTATTAATCGGTTAATCATATATTGACTATCTGATTACGGTTGGATGGGCAAGGTATATTGGTGTGGGAGAAGCAGAGGAGGTGCAGCTGTTTTACTATTTTGTTAAGTCAGAGAGGAATCCAGAGCAAGACCCTCTCATACTCTGGCTTACTGGAGGCCCTGGCTGCTCGTCCTTGTCTGGTCTTGCCTTTGAGATTGGTAATTAACTATTTACCTTTCTAGCTGAGTTCATCACCATTAAACCTGCTGTTTTCGTGGAGGTTTCTGATCCCTCTGGAATCCGATGGTTGAAGGTCCTGTTCGGTTTAAAGTGGTTGAATATAATGGGAGCTTACCCACATGGGTCTTGAATCCTGACTCTTGGACAAAGGTAAAACCAAAGAAATCAACCTTCTGTGTCGCACTTTCGTTTGGATACATGATACTCTGTTTTACATTGTTCATCATATTATCAGGTTTCCAGTGCAATATTTCTGGACCTCCCAGTCGGAGCAGGATTCTCCTATGCAACAAGCGAAGCCGCTTTCCGATCAAGCGACAAAGTGCAAGCATCCCAAGCCGTCGAATTTATGCGCAAAGTAATACTCGCTTCCACTTATTCCCAAATAATATGCAATCAAAGTTGCGACATGCAATCATCTAACCAATAGAATTAATGATGCACAGTGGCTAAAGAAACACCCAGAGTTCCAAAGAAATCAATTTTACATTGGCGGGGATTCCTATGCAGGCATCCCTCTACCCATCGCGGTTCAAATTATTTCCAACGGTATATGAAAATATTTGACAGTTCATCGCGCTTCAAACCACCTAAATGGTATCATATCTAATTCTCAATTTATCTATATGTGTGCGTCTGAAATCCTACGATTTCTGCAGAAAACGAAATGGGCATCAAGCCGATGTTGAATCTCAAGGTGGTTTATACTTGAAATTACGAAAACTTTATGTTGTCTTGTGTTTCATAGAATAGAACTTTTTGTGTTGTTGAATATTTTTTCATTGTTGTAAATTGATCCCCAAAATTGCTTGTTTCAAGGGTTACATACTTGGGAACCCATTGACAGATTTCAGAAAATTCGAGGGTAACTCACGAATTCCAACTGCCCACGGATTGTCACTCATTTCAGATGAACTTTACCAGGTATGACTCACAAATGACATCCATCGATCAAATTAAATTGTTGCTTGAGACATTATTTTCTCTATTTTCTCTATGTTAAGAGTACTAGTAAAAAAAGGCTTCGCAATTCTGAGTTCAACTTATCTGCATCTTTTATATGTTGTATACAGTCACTAGAGACAAGCTGTGGGGCAGAATATCAGAATGTTGATCCTACCAATTATCAATGTATCAACAATTTACATGATTTTGATGAGGTAAACATGGTTTTGAATAACAAGGGTTTTATGAAAATGTTAAATCGCTTGTTGATCTACTGATGATGAAGATTGAAGATAACCAAATTGCAATACGTTCAGTGTTTGTCAGGGCTATACTTTGAGCACATATTGTATCCAATGTGTGGACTAGCTTCTCCAAAACCAACAATGGAGGAGATCCAGATGGACAACAGGAGATTCCTATGGTACAAACATAGACAACAATCTTTGTCTATAGATGTTCCTACATTTGGTTGTCCGGTACACCCTTGTACATTTGCTTTATACTTTTTTTCATGAATAATTTTTCTTATATTATTGTGTAGTTACGATTCAAATTTTTATACTAGGGTTGGATTTTTTTTATCTCACTCACCGATCCTCTCTGCCCCTGCTTTTCTTTGATCTGTCATTGTATGTAGACTTACCCTCATCTTCTTTCCTATTACTGGGCGGATGATGCAGTTGTCCGCAAAGCACTTCATGTGAGAAAGGTACAATAAAAAAAATATATGTAGTTACCAAAATTTTGTCAAATTTCTTTAGAACTTCTGACATGGATAGTTCTTTTTTTATTTCTAAAAAAAATATAAATTTATTTTTATTATGTAAAAGCCCACGCAACATGTACGATTCATCACTAAAAAATACAAGAAGACAGTTTACGAAAGTTTCTTCGAACACCGTTCACAAGACTTTTACTCCTGCATCCAATTTCACCATAAATCCTTTTCTTCCATATAGATAGCTTATCTACATGGAAGAACCAAGTTTTTTTTAATCTATTTAGGGTGGATAACCATACATAACCCTATAGTTATCATTCATGGAAAGTTATTAATTTTCTCCCAATAAAATTTAACGGACTATATCTCTATCATTTCAAGTCAAAATTAAAAACAAATTAAACAGAAAAATCAAATTAATTGTGTTTTAAAAAGACATTCACTTTGATATATTTTAGAAACAAAAAACTTGAAACTTTCATTACAGCTTATCTAGGTACCCATTACGAAAAACACATACATAATCCCATTCAATAACATTCATATAAATTATGAATATATTACGTAAAATTTACAGAATGATAGTTATTTATTATGTTTAGTTAAACATACATGATACACAAGTCTTCTAATTTTGACACTATGTGTTAGTATCATTACGCAAAACCGTCATTTATTTATTACTTAAGATTTACATAACAATAATATACAACTAGAGAAGACCTGACCGCGCTCTGCGGCGGCTTGGGGTGTAATTTTGTGCCATTGTTTGCTTGCCCGTAAAACATTTGAGTCATACCTTTAGAATTTGATGCTATATTTTTTGTTGTATGTATAGTCCATTTAGTTCTAAACAGAAACTCATCAAAAGACATTCCGATTCTAAACAATGTATTCTGAGTATACATGTATTCTTCAGAATATAACGTTTTTTGGCTTGTTTTTATCACATAATGCATGTATAGAAAATAAATAATATATTCATAATACATAAAAAAAACACCTTACAATTTTTGTAAGGTTTAGTATGTATAGTTCATTTCATATATAATTCATACATTCTTTTATATTTTTCAAACAAAGCATTCTTAAAACCCATACATTCTTGGTATAATCATAATCTTAATACACACATTTTTGTAATACACCACTTTGCAACAACTCCCTTTTCTTCTTTTCGGTTGCGGAAGCTGTGTAATTTCAACCTTTTGCTTTGCTTCCTCTGCCACATGTATCTTTTGCTTTCTTTCCTCTGTTCCCTTCCCTTCACTTCCCTCAACCCGTGTACTTTCTTTTCTTAAACATCTCTGAGTGTATGATCTATTTTTTGGTGATAAAATTTTCACAATTTTGCGGGAAAGTCTTATCTCCTGAAGTGAATTAATGGTACAAATGCTGTTAAATGGACACTTCTCTCTTTTCTATGCTACAGGATTCTTGCAATCCCATGTATAGAACTTTATCCAGACGACTGCTGCTAAAATTCTTCAGCTACTCCATACTGATATCAACTTCTTCCTCAATTCTATAAATCCATCAGCTGCATCAGTTTCCTGCTAAGAAGTTGGCTTCTTTCCATCTTTAGTTTAATAGGCAGGGGAATGATTTTGAGGAAGTCCTATAACAGCATATCTTAGAAAGAGTCAACACCATAAAACAAAACAAAACGAACCATCCCATCTCTTCTTTCTACAACCCCTCTAGCGGAGGGAATTGATATGCAAAAGCAGCTACACATGGAAGCAACAATTTGACCACCAACACCCTAACCCAATCCCCATCCCTTAGCTACCACATCCAACGCTAGAAATCCCTAATTTCTCAATTAAGCCTTCTTTTCATTCTTCTATGATACGAATGGAAATTGAATCCGGTTGGCGACAATTGCACAACCCTCGCCTTTAGCCCAACAAAATTGTCTTGGTTTACGCATCCAAATCTAATGACTCCAAGAAGGTCGATTTGCAAGAGATTATAATAGTGATTACACTAAGACTGGACACAATAAAGGGATTGAAATCAAGAGTGATACACACAAAGAAATCCCACTGAAACTTCAGCCTAAATCTCAGCCTAATCATGCTTTCTTCCCTGTGCATCAACCTGCCTTGAATAAATTGATGAACCCTACTCATAAGATTGAGAGTGTGATCTTTCCCAATGGAAATCAAGAGACTGGCTGGACAAAATTAATCCCACTCCAGCCATAAAAATAGAGAAGAATGCCTAAAGCTAGAGGTGACACGTGTGATATAGAGGAATATTTTCCCCACGTATTGAGGCGGCATTCTTGCGGGTGAGAAAAAATAATGACAGTACGATTTATATTAGCAAAACCCCTATGAACAGTAACACACTTATATCTTTAATTAATAAAATCTATCTATCTATCTATACATAATATTATGGCAATTCAAAAGTAGTTTGTTGCCACATAAGCATTTGGAGAATTTACAAGGTGCCATGGTGGACACATTTTTTACAAACAAAAAAGTTAATTAATGATCAATTAGTGGAGCTATATCTATCTTCTTTTAATTTTTTTCTTTTATTTTAATGATCATTTATGTAGGTATCTCTATCTTCTTTTAATGTTTTGTTTTTTTATTCAATAACTTTTTTGCAATATATATGTGTAGCAGCAATATACTTACGTTTGGAGAGTGACATATATTCTAATTTGAAAAAATGTATTTGATTAATCTGATCAATTAATTTTTATTTTTATTAGAACTTAATATAGTGAAGTTTAGATAATCAACATTTAATAATCAATTGAATTTGAAAAACCAACTATATAATTTTATGTTTTGGGTATCAAACACTATCTTTTTCTAATATTTGTATCTATCAACACAAACAAGTATTAAATAGCAAAATACTTCAAAAGTTGTTTTTTCATTTTAATAGAAACATGACGAAGCCATAATGTAGTACCTGATTGTACAAATGAAGGCGATAAAGAAAGACAACTTTTCGTCTCTCTTATAATGCATGTTTCCATACCTTATTTTTCTCTTACATTTGTTCATATTTTCCCTTATTTTTCTTTAACAGTTTACATATTTCGGTCAAACAAATGTGTTAATTACACTTAAAAATATATTAAACTCTTCATATTTATATATGTATATTATGACATACCTTGAGTAAGAAGACGATATATAGACCTTGAATTGACTAGAGTTTGACATATGGTATTATTCTCAAAGCCTTAAAGATTAAAATCTAGGTCTTAAATTTATAAATCTCATACACTAAGATCAGTTTAATTATAAACAAAAATCAACGGTCATGATTCAAAAAAATATATGCAATAAATTACCTGCAAAATCTTAGGGGTTAAGCTCTATGATTTAGATAACTAAGACATCGGGTTCACTTATCAAGGGTTAGGGTATAGTATCATGCCCACAAATCCGGTTAATTCGTGATTCTGATAGCGTTTTCTTACTTAGAGTATAGTATCATGCTTAGATATTGATTAGGGATGTGGCACTACACCAATAAAATGAAGATATTAGTACAAGTAATGGAATTTTTATCCCAAAACAAACACCAAAGATAAATAAATTTTAGCAAATGCATATTTGATAAGTTAGAAAATTATACACTAATGGACCATGTTAAGATTAGAACCCTCGACAGTGTGTGAGTATCTTGGACCGAGATTCTAAACCAACCTATAAACAACGACCATGAGTTGAGGGTGAGTCAAAATTAAACTTTAGGTATTAACAATTGGTACATAATGTATAAGATATTAAATTTAGCGTCTTGATCGACAAATATGATCATACACTAAGATAGTAAACTTTCAATTAGGATGACCAAATTTATCTAATATTGAAGTACCTTTATAAAAAAAATTCTAACTAAGTTGTTGTCATCTGAGCAACATCATTGGTTGAGAATTCGTCCAAACTCGAGATTCATTGAATGTCATATATTGTACAAGATAAAAAAAAATTGAGTATTGTTGTTGACAAATCTTGACATAAGATTCTATATGGTACGTGATATATCTTTGTGACATGATTTATGATCAGATAATCGAAACATCATAAGTGAATGTGCTAAGTATTGAGAATTTTTAATTTATAGACGCACTGCATATTCACATATGAATGCAAATGTAAAAAATTTAGAAGATCCAAAATAATTTAAACATATAGATAAATTGATTAATGTAATTTATAAAATGAAACTCACCGGCCAACGGGCCGGGTAAAAAGCTAGTATTCATAGATGTATGAGCATTATGAAATGAAGGTTACCATTAGTTACATATTGCGAAATGCCAAACCTACTATGGCACATAAAAAATTTGAAATCACTTTAGCAGCTAAAGTTTAGCTATAATGACTTTCAAGAAGCTCCTTCTTTACTTTAATCCATCAGCCGGGTCCTAGCTACCTTCTGTAACCAAGAAGCCTTCTCTTGTTGACAATCCTGATGCTGTGGGAACCGCGTGTGAATTGCAAGTTTGCTCACTGACCTTTAATCACCTGAATTATTTTTTCTTTAATTTAGCCACTAATAATACACGTTCATGTCATTTTTGGTCACTCTCTGTCTAGATCTGTTAAATATGTCCTAGATGGCAGTTAACATTTATGTTTGACTGTCAAAATGATGACATGGCTACCACGTAGATGCCATGTCATTGATACAACAGAATTTTTAATCAAATTGAAATCTAAAAGAAATCCCTTGATCTTCTCTTCCCTCCTCGTTTCTTCGCCCCTAGCACCCCCAACCGTCGCTTCACTAACCCCTAAGGCCACTGCAAATGGACGAAAGTTTTGGCATTGCTGCAATTCAGTAGAAGCAATCGGCTGTGGATAAGGTTATGCACCCTAGCGTAACTAAATCTGGACCTTCCTTTTTAAGCGAGCCCAGAAAATTCAGATCTAAGGGTTGAGAATTAAAGACATTTTATTTTTCATAGTTTTTTAATAGACTCTTCTCTTCTTCGTTCTAACTCGAATTTCAAACTTTTTTGGACAAATGGAACGAGTTTGTTGTACTCTACAAAATTAGATCCATTTTCAATATTTTTTGAAGAAAAAAATTGCATACCTCTCGTTACCAACCCTATAACATATGATATCTCCTTTATTTTTAAGTCATTTTTGAAAAATTTTGCACATAAGAAACGAATTCATCATGATTTATTGGATCTAAAAATTACTATGTGAAAAAAATACAGTGTTGAAAGTCGTATGGAGGGAGGTATCTTGTGGTACACAATGTTGAAAGTCGTAACTGACACTTAGTATACTCCTACTATCATGTATTCAATCATCTTACAGTCTTCGTATGTTCATAGACTGGTAGAAAATGCCTCAAAAAAAAAAAATTTCAAAAATATATCAAATTGGATATCATTTTGAAATGCACAATTAATCTAATTTATCTTTGGATTTTTTTTGAATTCTGACTTAAAACTAAAGAAAAATCGCCCGTTAAATATTATTAAGAAAAATATTAAAAGTTTTCCATAAGAGAGAGGCTGATGTGACGAATTTGTGGTTGGGTTATGCATGATTATTGACACCTCATCCGCTTCCGAATCAGTCGTTATCTAAGGAGTTACCGTTGCCTCAGCTGCCAGTCTGCCCCTCAATCCCTTCTCCCCCATCGCACCCAGAATCGCCGCCTCCTTCCTCCCCATCGACTGAATACGAATTCATCAGTCGTCGTATCTCTTGCCGATAGAGAGAGGAGGAAAGCCACACAAACAAACCCAAAGTCTCCTCTTCTCAGTCCCTTATCTTCCAGTCACCAATAAATATCACCCAAACACTCTACTGCACAATTCAATTAATAGCCTATAGCCATGACGTCTTCCTCCACCACCAAGTTCATTATCTCTCCCTCTTTCTTCTCCGGCATCGCCAATTTCACATCCATCGACTCCCCCCGCACTCGTTGCCTCTATACTTCTTCCCCAACTCCTCCCCCTCATCCTCTGTCATCTGAATCAATATCTTCGACTTCCGCCTCCGCCACCTCTGCCACTCTCTCCCCGTTGCCAACTACATCAAGACGACTTCCTCTCCGTCCTCCACAGTGGCATTGGCTACGAGAAACTGGGGGACGCCAGATTGGACCTCCTTCGTGAATTGGGGAATGTGGACTGCTCGTATGACCTCTTGCCAGAGAATCTATGTCGGAAAATCTTGTCCTGCGATGCCCTGATCATGCGGAACAGGACCAAGGTGACGCAAAAGGTGTTGGAAGCGGCGAAGGGAGGCTGACAATGTAAACGGTCCGGCGCCAGACCGTGGCCTCATCCCTTCCACTAAGCTCATAAATTCCACTCCCTCATTTGCATCGGGGGAGGACGGCAAAAGGGAGCGAGAGACGATGCCGATGAATTGGGATTCGGGGGAAGCAGATCGGATTTGTCAGCATTGTCTCACTCGCCGGTTCCGAACTCGCGACACCGTGGACGTTTCAGGGGAAAACGAAGGTCGATGAAATATAGCGACCTTCAGCTCCTCTGAATCCGACAAATCGCCGATGTTTAGAGAAGGATGGGAGAGAGAATAAGACGCGGTAGTGGATCTAAGTTTTTTTATTTAATTTTATTCATTTTAGTTGAAAATAAAAATTATATATCAGATGTCACATCACCATTTTAACGGTTAAACATAATTGTTGACCGTCACCTAAGACATATCTAACGGATTTAGACGGAGAGTGACCAAAGATAACATAAACGTGTAGTATCGGTGGCTAAATTGAAGGGAAAACAATTCGAGTGGCTAACATGTTACAAATAGATAAAATGAGTGATTAAATTTTCAATTCACCCTGAGAATCACAAAAAATTTTGCGTGTCGAAGAATAATAAGTTTGTCAATTGCTAGATTAGACAAAGTTGCGAGATGAAGTTTAGTGTAAGCTACAAGAAAATAACATGCTAGCAAACATGGGTTCAATTCTATGTAGTTAAGTAAATTATGAATACAATATGAAAATTTAAATTGGGTTAATACCTTATTTGGTCCGAAGTTTAGAATAAGTGACAGTTCTGACCCCATTTTTCAAATAAGACATTTACGGTCTATTTTTTAAATTATTGAACAGATTTGACCTGACTCAACAAAAAACGGTTGATGTAGCTTATGTAGGGTGCCATGTTGTCAAAAAAAAAAAAAAAGGGTGCCATGTCATTAAAAATAATTTTTTAATTCAATTATAATAAAAATTAAATAGAACACAAAATCCCCAAACCTCCAACCCTCATCTCTTCCTCCCGTCGCCTCCTTCCCACTGATTCTTCTCCTTCTTCCTCTCCTCTGGCATAAGCAACCATAAGCCGAACCATCCCATCGTCAGAAATGAAGAGACTCTGAAGTCTGAAGCAACTGCCTCCACCGCCACTACAAAATCGAGGCTCTGAAGCACCCTTCTTCGTCTCCACCGGCGAAGCAACCAGAGCAAGAACCAGTACTACCATGGCGGATCATATGCAGTCTCTCTCAAGGACTTGTACAGAGACTGCGTTGATTCGTTGAAGAGAGGGAATCTCGAGAAAAAAAGCTCGTCGGGGGAATCGTGAGTCACCACCAGATCTGGATCTTGCAAAAAAAGTTCAACCCAACAGATCTCATAAAGCGAAGGGTAAAAGCAAAAGGATTTTGTAGAACTACGATCCCAATTGCAAGATGAAGGGTGGAAACCCCATAGTCGTACCTCTTGGATAGCAAACTTGTGGACGATGCCATCATTGCTGGTCATGAACAGTGACATTGTGGGTTAGAACGGTTGTCGGGGTGGTAGGGGAGGATTAACCGTTTACTCGAACTGGAGCTTAGAGCTCCAATTTTGTTCTGGGCCGAGCACATTTTAGCCTCCGGGTGCTGGTAGCGGAGGGACTAGAAATGGATGAGAAGGATGGAGATTAGAGATGCGTGGATTTAGGCCGAAACAGAGAGGAGGAAGTGGAGCTACGATAATATCCATCCTTTAATTTATTATTTTTTTAATATTTTATTTTTTATTTTAATTAAATTAAAAAAATAAATAATATTATTTGATGACGTGGCACCATGTTTAACCATGTCAGTTCTCACCAATAAAAATGTTTTACCATGTCAGCATTTTTTTTCTGAGTCACTAACATAATAAGTGTTTGATCGTTAATATTAATGGTCAATACAAGTTTCGGGCCAAATTTGTCCAATAATCTCGAAAGTAGGCCGTAAATGTCTTATTTGAAAAATGGTGCCAGAACTGTCACTCACGCTAAACTTCGGGCCAAACTAGGGTATTAACCCATTTAAATATTACCGACATTTAATCTTGGGACTTTGCTACGGTGACATGCATGTCACCGTTAGCACTTTTAGGTCGACCTAATCTGTACTTTTAGATCGACCATATATAGGATTAGGTCGACCTAATATGTCGTTCCAGTTTTGTGAGGTTCAACGACGCGGTTGACCTTTTATAGCAAATGGTCGACCTCTTTGGGAAGCGAACAAAATGAAAGGTCGGCCCAAATACCTCATAGGCCGACCATTTTGATTAACTGAGGTCGACCGCGTGCACACCGTATCCTTATTGGATAAGGATTCCAACACCAGAAAGGTAACCCTAACTTATCTACCACTTAATTTGACCCATTCTCGTCCTAAATATCTATAAATATGAATATATGTCACCTTCACCGCCACCGAAACTCTGAATTAGGTTTTTTTTACGGTTAGAGCTTTTGTGAAGAAGATCAAATGCGGTTGCTACTGTATGTGATTCAAGAGGTCGACCACGTGGAAGTTATGAGTCCTTGTTATCATTATTTATGATTGATTCTGTTGGTTTGAAACGTAATTTGTACGAGCAAAAGAACCACCCACATCGACATACATAAGCAAAAAAGACACAGGGCACATGTTAATTTTCTTGTATTCGGTCGACCTTAGGTCGACCGCGAAACCAACACTTGATCTTCATTTTACGTCAAATGATGATGGATAAATGTATACAACACTTCTCTTCTATCTGATCGACCTCTTTCTGCAAATGGTCGACCATTTTTTTAATGACCGTCATCAAGTGGTCGACCTGTATACCTATACGGTCGACCATTTAGCTTCTGACGCCAATGAAAAGGGCGACCGATGTTTTATTGTGGTCGACAAACAATGACAACTTAAACTACAAACGGTCGACCACTACATTTTAAAGTCGACCGTGATAAGTTATCAGGGTGCCCACATTAGTGTATTCGAGAACCTCACAAAACTGAAACGGCATATTAGGTCGACCTAGTCCTAAATGAGGTCAACCTAAAAGTGCAGATTAGGCCGACCTAATTCTATATAAGGTCGACCTAAAAGTGCAAGTTACGGTGACAAGCATGTCACCATAGGCATACCCTTAATCTTTTCTTGTCCATAAGTTACATAAATATTGTATAAGTCTTCTGTAATGGTTTTGTATTTTATCTAAATATGTGTTAATAGTGATTACATAAAGAAAGTGATTTATTACGTAATATAAATATACAACTATTACGTAAAATAGACACAAACTGTGTTAGCAATACAAAATGAAGATTACATTTTAGGGTAAACTGCACGGTTCGTCATTGGGATTACTGAAAAAGTTCAAGTTTAGTCACTGAAAATACTTAATTTTATTCATGGTCACTAGAATTAGTTAAAAATTCTATATTTGGTCACTCTCAGTTAGTCTCCGTTAACACCGTTAGTTTTTTGCTGACGCGGCTAACGGAAGTGCCTAATCAGCCAGTTGCACCCAAAAAATTTGAAACCCGACCCGCCAAGTCATCAAACCAACCACATGATTAAATCCAACCAAACCCTTCATCTTCTTCCTCTATTGACCTGACAGGAGAAAAGGCTTACCTCCCGACCCACTTCATCTTCTTCCTCTTCTTACAAAGCCGCCATCGTCGTCGAGGGTAAATCTTCAAATCTACATTCAAGATGGACTTCCTCGGTGTCACTTGTTCTTCTTTTCCTTCGAGCGGCGGCGACGACGTTGAGCAAATCCACATCTCTCGAACCCCGTTAATTGAACAATATTAAAGCACCTACCAAGCACCAACCCCCATCTCATGACCCCCGATAGAAAACTCGCCTTCTTTCCTTTCAACGCTCTCTCCTTCCCATTTTCCATTTCAGCTCTCTCTTCTTCGTCGCCATTAGAGAACTACCTTGTTGTCATTATAAACATAAAATAAAAAGAACTACCTTGTTGTGATGCCATCGTTGCTGTTGGAAATTTGGTTGAACCGGACTAACCAAGTCAAACCTGTTTTGGGTTGGACCAACCAACCAATTTGGGATTAGACCGAACCGATATTCTAATTCCGTGAAAGGACACATCCCTTTGGCCTAGTGGCGGTTGCATTATTTTATGGATAAGGATAACCTTATGGATAAAGGCAACCCTTCATATGGATAAGGACGACCTTTCATATGGATAAAGGCAACCTTTCTTATGGATAAAGGCAACCTTTCATGAAACAATGCATGGATTCGGCCCATGTAAATATGTGTGTGGGGTGCATGATGCCATATACCATCAAACATATTCTTCTTCTTTCTTCCAAAAATTTCTAAGTATGCTTTAGTGTTCTTGAACCTAGAACCTAAAGTGGTGATAGTTTTATCCTCGAGAGAAATTTCCTGTAACTCAAGGCTTTGTAGAGGGTGGAAATATTCTTTTCGGAAAGTAAACGTTGTTCACGACTCTATCACAATCCTAGTCACCGGTCTCGAGCTATCATATGTACACCCTCGCCCCTAAAAGTCTCAACAATCGAAAATAATATTTTCTGGTATGATGGCTCGAACCGCTCATTACAAGAAATCGGTTACGGTCTATGGAATTATGAGAATGTTTGATGATGAGTATTTAATCGATGGCAGTAGAAGATGGGTTTTCTTCGTACTTGACTAATGGTGTATTCCATATTTGGAAGGTGACTTGGAAGAGGGATGATTCGAAGAAGAGGAAGAAGGAGAATGATTCGTAAATGGAGAAATAGAAGAATGAAAATTGCCTTTGGGTAGGTCACATACTCAATGGTCAATTTGACTAATTCTCTATTCGACGTTTACGAAATGCTAGACAAATATGGATTTGTCTAGTGGTTTGATGGTGTGGGTTTGTCTAAGTGGTTTATGTTAAACTAAGGAGACAAAATTGTATATACAAATGTTTGATGATTCTTGTAATAGAGTCGTCATATGTTTGTATATAGATGACATATTTATCTTTGGGACCAATCAAAGATAAGTGATTATGTCTAGTGGTTTATGTTGTTTTAAACCAAGGAGACAAAATGTGTACACAATTTATGATGATTCTGGTCATCGTACATTTGTATGTATAAGACATGCTTCCCTTTGGAACCAATAAAAGATAAGTGAACTTTGATAAAAAGTCCGTGTATTGAATCAAGCGGAACGACAAAGAAGCTTCATTCTCTCAATTTTTCTGCATAGAGAAGGTAATTGCAAAAATTCCATATTAGGAATTTTCGGGAGTGAACAACCCCACGGAAAATCAGTTTTACAACTAGAGTATTCCATGTCAAATTGGGGGCTCGATGTATGCATGACTTACATGATGCTGGATATCGCATATGTGCTAGAACAATTAAATCGGTACATGATGAATCCTAGTTCTCATCATTTGAATTGAAATGAGGCGTGTACTAGGATATGTCAAAGGCACATTGTATTGACTTATAGTGGCTTTCCATCCATTTTGGAAGGATTTGTTGATGTTAGTTGGATTTCTCATGTTAAAGGTGATACTTCAACATCGAGGTGAGTCCTCTTGCTTGGGGGAGGTGCCATATTTCTAAAAAGCAAACTTCATTACTAGTTCCACTGTGGAGTAAAAGTTTGTGGCCTTGATTTTTCTTAGAGAAAAGACATTATTGATGAGATGTTTGGTTTATGACATTAATTTATGGCTAAAACCAATCTCACCTATTACTATTTAGTGATAGTAATGCTACTTTGACTAAGGCATATAGCCAAGTGAAATGACAAGTATGGTCACGTGGGAGTTAGGCACTGTAAAATCTGTGAATTGATCACTCATGGAATTGTGCCAATGTAATGTGACCGGACTTGAGATAATTTAGTTTTATCATTTGACGAAATGATTAACTAGTGACTTGGTGGTCAAATCTGTGAATGGGATGGATTAAAAATCCATATAATTTCTAGTAATGGTACACCCAATTCCCCTCTAATACAGCGTTAGAGGCTGAATTCAATGTGGAAAGCTTATTATCATAAATTGAAGCACAAAATTTGTCATCTCGAGTTATGTACTTGTTATCCTGCATGAGAGAAGAGGATGAAGTTCAAAATTCTAAATTGAATCTTTGACAAAGTGTATTATGCGGGTACACGAATAAAAGATTCTACCTATGTAAGCATGAAGTGTAGCCACTTCAAGAAACCCGGACTTTGGTTTCGTGTGCGCTTATGAGAAGGATTGGACACATGGCGGTTAATAGTGTCAAGGCACTTAGAAATTTGAAAACTTAAGTGTATATTATCTTCGAATATTCATATGAGTTAATGGGTTCAATCGTTAATGACAGTACCCTTTGTATTCGAGTATTTGTCAAGTGTAATATACTAAGGTGAAAATTCAATCGTCACGACATTTTCATTTATGCTTAAGTTTTGTTGGAAGAATGTTGTGATTTTAGTGAATTCTATGAATACACTAAAATGGGGGAGGAAAGTTGGAGATTTGGTTGAACTGGACTAACCAAGTCAAACCGGTTTTGGGTTGGACCAACCAACCGGTTTGGGATTAGATCGACCAAACCGATATTCTAATTCCGTGAAGGGACACATCCCTTTGGCCTAGTGGCGGTTGCATTATTTTATGGATAAGGATAACCTTATGGATAAAGGCTACCCTTCATATGGATAAGGACAACCTTTCATATGGATAAAGGCAACCTTTAGTATGGATAAAGGCAACCTTTCATGAAACGGGTGGGGATAACTTAGGGACGGTCAGGTTTTGACCCTGTGACCCTTAGCAACAAAAAATATCTCACACCACATTGGAACTTTTCGTAAAGTTTTAAAAGTTTAGGTACTAATTTGTAAAAATTAAAAGTTTTCAAAAAGTGATTTTACCATCAAAATTTTTGGACTTATTTGTAAAAAAATAAATTTTAGGTACTAAATTGTAAGAAAAAATAATTTTGGATACCAAAACGTAATTTTTAAAAAAGTAGTGTGTTGATTAGGGTCGACCTACTGACCCGACCCGTCCCATCCCTTGAGGGTCAGACAGTGTCAAGAAGGAGAAAAGGACGGGACGGGTCAGTTATACGTCTTGACCTTTCAGGGACGGGTCAGACAAGGTTAGGGACGGGACAGGCGAATTGTCAGCCCTACCTCTAGCTCGATTTCACTCCCAATCCTTGCGATTCCAACAAGCATTCGAACAAAAGCCTCTAATTCCAAGCGTTACCTGCGGGTGTTCAGGATGTTTACTGATTCTACGATTGGAAGGAGAGGCTTTAGGGAGAGAGAAGGAAACGGGGAATGTAGTGGGAGATGCAACTCTGCTCTCTCTTCCGCCGGTGCCATAGCCTCCGGCAGGAGCCTGTCCTCGGCGCAACTCACTGCGGATGAGGAGGAGAATGGGTTGAAATCAATGGGGAAGGGGAAGAAGAAGCGAGTCAAGAAAAAAGGTTGGGTTGGTTTGGATTTTTTATGTGGGAGGTTTTCTGACATGGCGAGTTGGGTTGTGTGATGTGATGGGTTAAAATTGGGGGAATCAACATTTTCGTTAGCTACATCAACAAAAAACTCACGGTTTAATAGAGAGTGACCAAATTTGAAATGTTTAACTAATTCTAGTGATCATGAATATAATTAACTATTTTTATTGCCCAAACAAGAACGTTTTTAGTAATTCAAGTGACCAGCCGTATAATACATTTTATATAATGTGACATAATGGTTGAGCTAGAAATCTAAACGAGGGAGCTAAAAATCTATGCTCATATAATTTGAACAGATAGGCTGGGGAGGGGGAAACCAGAATTCATGGCACATGTAATAGAGAGGAAAGAGCTAGGGTAGTTACTATTATACCCTTATTAGTGTAAATAGGATAGTAACATGGTAACATTAATGGTTTTAGCACCATATCTGGTCCCAATGACTTGAAGGAATGATAGGGAATACAAAAGTGCAAGATAAATTTAGCCTAAATTAAAGTGAAGTTATCATGCTAGGAAACATGGGTACAAAGTTTTGAGTTTATTTTAGAGTTAATATCTTATTTTGGCCCGAATTATACCCTAATTGTCTACTTTGGTCCGTGATTTCTGAAATTGCTCCCCTGGCCCGAACTATGCACCATGCTTTCTTGCTTGGCCTGGCGTGAATTTTGACCGTCGAATTGGACGGTCAACTCCATTGAGCATTAGTCAAGCGCCAGGTCACTTGCCACGTCAGCGAACCCGAAATAAAAAATTTGGATTTTGAAGTTATGTAATTATTTATGTTATCTAATTATAAATAATAATTAACAAATTACTTAACCTATCTTTTTTTCTTATCATTTTTTGTTCATTATTATTGTTATTAGATAGCGAATTCAGTGACATGGTAAGTAGGGATGGCAATGGGTCGGGTTGGGGCGGGTTTTGTCAAACCCAAACCCATGGGTTTATCCGCCAAAAAACCGGGGGTACAACCCGCTGGGTTTGAAAAACTCAAACCCAACCCAACCCGCTGGGTATCCGCGGGTTCATGGGTACCCGTGGGTTTTTGTGGTAAAAAATTTACAATAACAAGTTTATTTCAAAATAAAAGTTTAACATCAATTTTCTCATACAAATTATTCATACAAAAAACACCAATCTAGAGCATACAAGCAAACCGCAAATGATCAATACGAATTGTTCAAAATTATAGATAAACATCTATAAACAATAAGATCAATTGAAAGCTTCTTCCTCGTCAACTAAGTTTCTTCACTCTCCACTTCATAATATCAACTTCATTCTAAACAATTAGAAAGAACAAATTATACATGTCTCCACAAACATAAAGAATATTAGTTGTTTAAGGAAGATATATTATTTAGAATATTAAATATACCGGGAAAGTAATTATATGTGTGTGGGCGGGTACCCATGGGGCGGGTTTACCTAAACCCAAACCCAACCCCACCCGGTGAATAGTGTAGCGGGTTTAAACCCAAACCCGTCAACACGGGTTTTACCCGCGTAGACCGGGTTGGGTCGGGTGGGTACCCGTGGGTTCGGGTTTTGTTGCCATCCATAATGGTAAGTGCCCTGGCGCTTGACTAACAGTCAAAATTCGCGTCGGGCCATGAAAAGAAGTATGATGCATAGTTTGGACTAATGGGGAAATTTCAAAAACCACAAAGCAAAGTAGAAAGTTTGGATATAATTCTAGTCAAAATAAACTATTAACCGTTTACTTTATCCTAACATTTATAATCAAACAAATGTTTAGTAGGACATACTAGAACTCTATAAACTTTGAATGCCATAGAAAGATAAAGAAACTAAAATTTATTTTCAGTCTAGAGCAATCAAATTTCAATCCATCTAACACTTGTAGACTAAAAGAATAGAAGAATTGTATCAACAATATATAGTTATACTAAAATTATAACCATATTTCTGCCCAAAAAAAATTATAACCATATGTTAAAATATATATAATCACTTATAGAATAGTCTTCCTTTTATATATAATGAACTACTTATCGCACCAATACTATATAGCATAGTAGAAATGCTCCTATATCTTATATCTCTATAAAAAAAAAAACTATATCATATATCTAAATAATTCTATGGCTTATTTCGTTTCAACTAAATCATCAAATGAGTAGGTAGGTGAAGTTATAAATATATTTTGTATATTAACATAGTGAAGGATGGACCAATAAGTTTGATATATTACACTGACATATTATTTCAAACGTATAATGATAAGAATATATTTATTTTCAACAAAGATATAGTTATGTGATATGGAAAAAAAATACTACACTTTATAAAGAAAAATTATCAGTCGAGAACATTGTAGTGGAAGTTATTGAGTTGTTGAACTGACCTAGAGCTTGTATATCCCATCAAGAATCCCTACCAAAGAGCAAACTGAGTAATCATTTTTATGCAGGACACAGTGCAGAGATGGATACGATGTAACTACAGGTCAGATTACAGTAAAGATGTCAGCAGCAGTTTTAAGTATCATGTCTTCCTTTCAACGAAGGGTTATCGTTCGTTGATCTACAGGTTACTACAATTATTCAGTTTTTTCTTCACTTTCTCTTTTGTACCTATTTGTCTGCAAAATAAGGTGATGATGGCAGTACATACATTTGAGTTTTTGTACAGCGGGGATCATGATATGGTGGTACCATCAATGGGAACGCAAGCCTGGATTAGAGCTCTAAACTACTCCATTGTAGAAGATTGGCGATCATGGCACGTGGATGGCCAAGTTGGAGGGTATACAAGAACATACGCCAATGGAATGACATTTGCAACTGTCAAGGTGAGGAGAGATAGATAATTACTTTCTAACTGAAGTTTAAGATTAACTATGATGGATGCAGTGATGTTTGGGCTTTTTTCCCCATAGGGAGCTGGGCATATAGCATTAGAGCACAAATCTCACGAGTGTTCGGTTATGTTCAAAAGGTGGATAAATCAAGAGCCTCTATGAAAACAAGAGATACAAAGAAGAAGTTCAAGTCAGTAACGGATAAATTGTTACAAGAAAGACTTTATTGAGTTTAGGTATAAATTAAGGGATGTCGCACTTATAAGAAGTTGTTTTAGCCAAGAAACGACTCTCGTGTCTTGGTTCAAGCTATGTCTGTCAGATTTCTTCAAGGGCTGGGCTGATTTGTGGAAGGGCGAGCAGATCCCGGTAATCTACGGTTCAATTTTCAAAATTAGTGTCTTTGTGAGGAATAACATGGAGAGTAAAGATAGAGAAAAATAAAGGGTGTGTAAAGTGAGCAGAGAAGAAAATCCTTTATTTGGAAGACCTAATTCCTTTACTATAAGCAAAAGCTTGTGTTACTGTTTTGGGCTTTGATTGTAACTCGGAGGTTTTTGTGGGCTTGGGCTCATATTCATATCATTGATGCGCTGTAGGTCGGGATATGTCATATTGACAAGTCTACTAATCGGGCTATAGTTTGGAGTTACAGTGCACTAACATTCCACAATGATAAGACAATCTAAGCAAAAGTAGCTTAATAGTGTAATTAGGGATATGATGTATTTATAAGCTTAGAAAGTATATTTTCCTTAGGTTCTTCTATGGAAAATTTCTATTCTGGAGCCTAACAATGATATCCAACACTCTGGGTTTCGATTTGTGGCTTGAGAGCTTCGGAAACTGAGTTTTGGGCTCTTCTTGAGAAATGGCATGTTTAGTGTGGATTTGGGCCGCACTTTTTCTTCTGGTCCTCCAAAAACACTGGCTGTGTTTGGGGCAATTTTCATTCTTCCTACCTCTAAGTCCATCTTTGTTTGAATCCGCACACTCTCTTTCACGTCATAATGACCCTCTCTGATGCTTTGGGCTTAAATATCCAAAACTACCCAAAAAGGCATCAAATATGTAATAAATACTCATAGAGTCTATCAATCACACATTTGAGAAAATATTAAGAAAATACAAGTTAAAATGGCTAAAGATAAAACGAATAGATGCAAACCATGTCATAAAATAATGTGATAAAAATGTATAAGTTACGTCAGTAGGCTAGAAAGAGTAATCAATCACAAGCGCAAACTCAAAGTTGATATATTTTTACTAAACAAAACTATGGATACACGTGGTTCCACACCCCAAAACAATGTGGGATTTCTAGCCAACTATCGAGAAGGAGTGTGCCTACATGGTTGTTCCTCTTATCTCGTGTGGAACTAAACTACTAGCATTTAGGATTGTAGAATCGATAGTAGTTCTCTACAACCTTTGCAAAACTTTTCACCCCTTGAGATTCCGGATATCTTTACAATGAGGCCCAAGCCCCCTATTTATACGAAGTCCCCAAGGCTTAAAATCAAAACAAAGGAAAAAAAAAATGAAAAAGAAGAACTTTGAGCTCTAATTTTCCTACAAACTCTATAACATAAATATCACAAGAAAAATAGACAGATGGTGGCGACATAAGTGCAAGTGCACAGTGTCGTACAAGTAATAAAGTGTAAGTAAAATTATCGTTCTTTAGGGGATTGGTGAAATTCAAGAATTAACAAACTTTGTGCAAGAAACTATAGATATTGCAAAGGTTGTAATCAAGTGATGAGTTGCAGGATTACTGAATTTAACAACTCGGAAAATGAAATATTTTGGAGAAATTAACTTTGGAGAGTTACGTGGGAAACACAAGAATTTACTATTTTACCTCGGTAAATTTAATTACCCTTGTCAATCAATTTAATCCATATTTCTATAGTCGGGATACCTCTAAATTGATAGCTATCTCTATCGAGAATTACCACTTACTAACTAATTAAGACAATTTCTACTATCGTGGTTAACTAAATTAATTAATTAGCCTGAAGAACGATATCTCTAAAATGACTGCATAATTCCCTATTTAATCCACTATCGCTTTGATAGGAAATTATGTCGTGTGAAATGTGTTTGATTACTAGGCTTTCACTATCGTTATTAACCTAGAGAAATACAAATCATTGTGAAGGTGGCCAATCAACACAAAGCGTTAAACAATTTCACACGATAGAAAATGGAGGAAAAACAAGTCGTGATTAAAACATCGAGGCTAGATAATGAAATCCATAAGTTACCCTCATAAATTGGGGGATTAGTTCATGATGAAAAGAAAGAACATAAACATGCTAATATTCAACATCATAACTAATTACCAAAACAAAGGAGTATGGAAAGTACAAAGTGTTGAAGTTAATCCCCAACTTACAAAAGTCTTTCTTTCTTCAAAATGCTCAAGTCCAAAGCGTGCCAAAGTGAGCTCTCTCCTTTGATTTTTCTCTCTAAAACTAGTCTCCAAAAAGTGTCTACTAAGCTCCCCCTCTTGTTGTATTTTTCTGCTCCTTTTAAGCCCAATTTCTGCAGATTTTCCTCCCACAAAACAAGGCACTTTCAACTCCCATTTCCAAGAGAAGGCTGTTGCCAGTTTAAGTCTCTTTCTTTGCAATAAATTCTTGCATCACTTTATCTATTGGTGAGCCACCAAATCCATTTGCTCACTTCAAGAAATCTGATCCAATCCCAATAATTTATGAGGGATGTTGACAGTTGAGTGAAGATTCCAACCCACAATAATTCGATTTGGGTCTTCATCGATTTGGCCTCCTGCTGGACGTTTGCCACTGCACGTCTGCACTTTGGCATTGCACCTGCATTCGTCCAGTGCACTTTCTTTTGTTCACAATCTTAGCTTCAATCTGTGTTAAATTGCTAAATGTCTTGGTAATGACACTAGGGACATTCCATGGTCAATATGAACTAATTTAGAGCAATTTAAACACATACATACAAAAAGATCAATCATTTATGCACAAAATACATGTATGTTTATGAATTTTATCACAGTCCCACACTTAGCATTTACTTGTCCCTAAGCAAAAGAGAGAAATAATTGAAAGAGAAGAAAATAAACATACAACTAAGACTCCTAGGACTCAAATAAAAGACACACTACTCCTAAGACTCGACTAATAACATTGTTGCTTGAGTGACAGTGTGACTAGCTGTGGAGATAATATGCTTTGGTGTAGACATCTATGTATATACACTATCGTCAAATTCCAACTTTCCATGCATACCTAGGGTTGCAGGTTATATTACACTCCATCACATGATGTACCCTACACATAAAATAAACACACTAATAGTGGATTGTGCCAAAACACATTTAAACAAAGAGTAAGGTAGGTTAAGAGTAAAAGAATGGCATCTAGATTTCCTCACTAAGAATGTGTATTTCGCTCAATCACACAAGTGTTTAAGGGTTGGTGTTTACACTCAAGTTTTCCCTTACTAGTGCTTACCTGAACCTTGTTCTTCAACCACAGTTGGACCGATCAGTACAAACACAAGCATATCTAGATGACAATGTTTGGGTGATATGTGTAAGGTTAAGGGTGAAGGTGAGGTTTCATAGGAGGGAAATGGTGATGCTCACGAGGAATGAACTACAAAGGTGGACTCAAATCAAGAACTATCTATTATCGAGACCTTGAACAAATGAAAAAAATGCATAACATAAGCAAAACTAGAACTATATAACAAGGGAAGAACATTGATTCCCAAAGATGATTCATCGATCCTTATATATTCGCCCCCTTTCTCTTTCTCTTAATTTTTTATTTTTTTTTCTTCTTGTTGCTGTTTTATTTTTTATTTTTTTATGGGGGATGAGACTAAAAGACACTGCATTGATGATCAAGACCTTTTTTTAAGTAGTAGAGGATAAATGACGCATTAGAAGGTGCAGTGGCCCAATGCCCATGCAATTTCAAACTGCAGACTGTAGTGGCAAAATGCATCTCTCAACTATAGCTTCAACTACTACCTTAGAACATCAACTTTATTTACAAGACCATGAAAATGAAAATGTGTCACATAATCATACAAAAGACCTTATTCCTCGTGAGAAGAGTTCAATGGGGGATACAAGAAAGGGGTAAAGGTGAAGGTTTGATCGAACCAAAAAAACAAGGCCAAGTCTCAAAGAGGTTGATCCTAGTTGTCAATGATAGGGTAGGCTTTTTGGCTCAAATTGCACTAATTGTCTTTATTGTTTATGCTTGCATATATACAACACAGTCCATGTGTGGTTTTGATCAAGATTATCGAAACACAAAGCAGTAAAAAACGTCACACAATATGTAATTGACGTTGAAGGTTCCAATTCATGGCTACTAGATGCTATACCCTACTCTATACAGATTATACTCAATTTCACCTAAGTTCGGGCACAATTCAATTCTAGTGGGTTAATTTTAATGGAAGGTACGTCATGTGAAACAGGCAATCCTACTTCCAAACACAAGTTATGCATTTCAAGGTTAACTTGGGATAATCGAAAGGCAGATTTATACACCGAAGCATAATAAGTTGACAAACCATTCATACAATCATTTCAAGCAACAGCATTATACCCTATCAAGTTCAAGACACAACACATCAAACAAAGTGGGAACAACTCACATGCACAAAATATTTATACAATACATACTCATAAACTAAACTAAAACTCTCCACCTCCCACTTAGGATGGAACATTGTCCCTAATGTTCAAAACTAGTTTCTAAACGTGCAAACACATAAAATAAAAGTAAATAAAGGTAAAGAAGAAAAACATTGGGACAAGTTGTATATGGGCGAGGTGAGCAGTGGTGGGGGAAGAAATACCCCGGCGAGGATAGGCCCGCTTGAGTGCTTGTTGGTGACGAAGCTCATCCTGAATACTGATGAGTTCTTGTGACAGATTTGAGATTTAAAACTCAAGTGAGGAAGGGAAATGCATAGAGAAATTTGTTGGATTGGAGGAAGTGGATTTTAGAATGATGTCGCTAGAGGTTGTGTGTTTGGTGCATTTTTTCCCCTTTTGTAGAAAGAAGTTGAAGAACCAAGAAGAAAAGAAATGAAGAAAAAAAACGGCGGGTCTTAGGGTGAGAAACTCGATGTCCCTTCTCTCTTTTTTATATTAATTTTTTCATATGATTTTTTTTAGTTTTTTTTATAAAATAAAGGAAAGATAGTGTTTTATAGCTCCTCCTTTTCTTTCTGATTACGTTTTAGCGCTTAAAGTCCATCTGTGTTGCCTTCCACTCCATACTGCAGTTCTCCACAGCAAAAAGCATTTTTCCACTTTCACCAAAGCATTTTGCCAATGCACCTATAAAGTTGGAAAACACCTTCCTCGACAAATTTTGAGCTCAAATTTTATGGAGATCCTTCAAAAGTCCTAAAAAGTTAAATTATAAAAAAAAATTTGCAAGAAAAACTAACCTCGGGTTGCCTCCCAAGAAGCACTTGTTTAACGTCTCGAGCTTGACTTTTATGTCACTTTCAACCCATTGGAACTGAGAGATATCCACAATACCCACCAGAACACTGATAAAAAGCATAACCACCATCTAACATTTGAGCTACCTCGGCTAAGCCAGGGGTACGAAAAGTGGGGCTAACCTTCCTAGCATGCTTGTTTGGTCCACCGGTGAAGCATAGGTGATGTTGAAGTGCCTCAAGCAAGTACTCTTCTTGCTTAAAAGTTAGTGAATAAGGAAAAGCAACAAGAAGATTAAAATCATTACCCAAATATTTTGGATTTAGATAATCTGGTAGAGATTCATGCCATTGCTTTGATTTGTCTACCTGAGATGACAGCCTTTGTGACAACTCTTTCACTGTCCAATTTCATTCTCCTTCAAGTATAGTATCTCTTCCAATTCTTCAACCTGCGACTTAGAAATTTTTTGCATAACCTTGTGAGAGGAATAGGCACTTTTCCTTTCGTGGACATTACTTTCGGAGGTATCAAAATACTCATGAATATGATTAAATTGAAAGACATTGAAAATTACCTCATCCTTGCCTACTCTGAAGGTCAATTTACCTCCCCTTACATCGATGAGTGCATCGCCAGTGGCTAAGAATGTCTTCCAAAAATGAGAGGAACATCTTGGTCTTCTTCCATCTCGAAGACAACAAAGTCTATCGGAAATATGAATTTCCCCACCTTGACCAATACATTCTCTACTATTCCATTTGGTACCTTCACGTTAACCGCCGCTCCAAGATCACAAAGTGATTGATCAAACTCTTTACCACCAATAATACAAGGGATGGTGAAACTTCCTGGATCATCCCTTTTATCTGAAATTTTATTTTTTATAACAACATTACATTTAGAGTTAAGGGTTACCTTCTCCATGTCAACCCACTTACGTTTATTAATAAGCAACTCCTTCAAGATCTTTGCATAAGTAGGCATTTGCTCCAGCGCCTCGGCCAATGGTATGTTGATATGGAGTTATCTGAAGAGGTTGAGGAATTTCTTGTAGTTTGGATCATTTTGGGGCTTCACCAACCTTTGACAAATGCTCATGCAGTGGCAAAGTGCCTGCATTTTAACCCTGCTCATCAGTCTCTAAATTTTATGCAGCAGAATTTTCACCACCTTCATTGGCTTGTGATGAATTTTGGATCTTGGGGGCTGCCACC